TACGGCACATTTATATTTGGGTGAAAATCCCCAATCAGCGATGGATCCGTACCCTAAAGACCCCGTCCCCGGTGGAGAAAGAGGTGGGGGTGGGTTAGCCTGAAATTAAGCCTGTATCTCCACGTGGAAACTGAAGAATAAGTGAGGGGTAGGTTGACCAGCATCGACCAGCCAGTGACCCAGTAATTAATCACTGTAATTAATTATCCCAACGAACGAAGTTCGGTAGGGATATAGTGAAGCCCTCCGTCCGTCCGTCCGTCCGTCCGTCCGTCAGTCCGTCCGTCTGTCCGTCCGTCCGGAAGATAACTCAAATACGAGTTGACGGATTTTCTTCATATTTAGTGGAAAGATGTATATTGGTGAATAGTTGTACGCAAAAAAAAATTTTTCAAGATGGCCGCCGCTTTAAAAATGACGGGACTTTTTCGCAAAAATCATAAATTTTTCATTCTAAACCAAAGTAATTAATATTATTGTTTGAAATTTTGGTAGTATATTTGCAACATCTATCTATTTCACATATATTCCGTGTTTTTCATCCTGACCCCCAGGGGCCGTGTATGGGGGGTCAGGAAAACAGTAATTTTCGCTAATTTTTAGATCTTTCTGAAGTATAGCTTTATTATACTCAAATGAAAGGCAATTAAGAGTAGATTGCAAATATTGTATCTTTTTTCTGATTCGAGCCTCGTAAAATTCAAAATGGCCGTCTAATGTACGATTTCGCAATAATTTTTCGATTCCTTCAAAGTATGGCTATATTATACTCAAATTGAAGGAATTTTGGAGTAGATCACAATTATGGTATTATTCTTCAGATTTGTACCTAAGAAAATTCAAAAGGGCTGCTTTGCAGGAATTCGCAATTCTAAAATCTAAATTTTTACAACTTTAACCAAAGTAATGAGTATAATTGATTGGAATTCGGTAATTGATATTTTGTTCGTTGGGATTTGCTACTCCGCGGAGTTGCCATTATCTAGTTAAATATGGAACTCGCTTCTCGATATAAACCAGCTTTAATGTCTACCATTAAAACAAAATTTATATCAAAGAAGACGAACGTTGGTAGACATAGTTTATTTATTTTAATACAAGAATAAAATACAATAATACCGACTGAGGCAAGGCTACTCGTTCATATACTTATCTGAATCATCTAGAATATAATCTAGCTTGTCAGATGTTCGGCCATTAAAATCGCCTAAAAGCATTACATCGCCCAAATTGGAAAACTTTGCAATATCTCTTTCTAGCATACTTATTTCGCTTTCATTCTCATCTGATTGAGTATCATCTGGTCGTAAATACACTCCACATATATAAATGGCATTAGAGGCGGCGAAGAATTGTTTGTTAAATTTAACCCATATCGAGGGATTTGACATTTTAATTATTTTGATACCCTGTTTTATCTCATTTCTGATAAGTATTGACAGGCCTCCTGAATGCCGTTTAGCCCCGGGACTTTTGGTCCTTATTACACTCTTACTATAAAAACCTTCAATAACGAAAGGATGAGTCTGGGAATGAGTCTGGGTATCGACTTAGAAAATATTGAAAGTTGTGATGTCTGAAAAACCAACTCAATCACACATATTATTAAACTTCAATATCTCATCCTTCTTCTGAGATTACAAAAATATCAATTTGTATCACAATTGATGAAGAATATTGGCATCAAAGAAACTGCATATCACTTTGTCAGAATTGAAAAAGAAATCAATGGCAAATATTTAATTAATTATTTATGCAAAAAGTTTGATACATACAGGGTGTCCGGAAAGTAAAGATACAAATGCTCTAATTTCAATAGATTTACCTGTTGTGAGATGAAATTGTTACAGATTGTAGAATGACATTGTAACAATTTATCCTGCAACTGGCATGACAAATTGTTTCAAAGTAAAAAAGTTATGGTTGTTATGGTAACAGGAGTCGCGGGTATGTGGAGCAGCATCACAATTATGTTTTATAATTCTTTTCTCCTGCTCATATCATCTTGACACTTTGTCATCTGTTGCTATTATACATTAAACTATGTACCGCAACAGCAAAATGATTAGTACTGTAACATTATTTAGTCATTTAGCATTACTTTTGTTATATCCAGTATTATGTATTTCCCACCATTATCTTAACATTCTTGGTGCATTTTGACCGGAGATTCCAAGACCTGACAAAACCGCCGCTGCCCATCTCTAAGATTGCTGCTAACATTGGCTTCCAGCCGAATCTCATTTTTATGTTGAACTTCTAATAAGTATTGCTTTAAGATATTCATTAATGAAGAAGTCCAACGGGACATTATCAGGAAAATATGGGCCATTATACAAAAAGGTTTAATGTCAAGACATTCAATTGTAAGATTTGTTTTCTTTGCTTTGTGAATTGGTCCATTGACTGTGGAGGTGCACTATTGACTTTTCTATTAATCCAGGGACTCTTTTTCTAAGCACTTATATACTTTTTCTTTGATTATACTGGTGACATTATATAGTTCTGATATGTATCAATGATATCATTAAACTAAAGAGAATACTATGGCAGCAAGAATACAATATTGAACAAAACAAAACATTGATAGGAAATACAATAATAAACACTGTTTTAAACGGTTATATTTTAGCAATTTATCACAATTTAGTGATATCCTGGAACTGCTCCGAGTATTTGTATCTTTACTTTCCGGACACCCTGTATCTTCCAAAACATAGGTACTTTGTTTGAATAGACATTGAATGGTATTTCTGGATAAGTGAATTGGTGTTTATCTGGGTAATCAAGGGATTATAGTCACTTTTTAAATTTTAATTATTTTTTCGTGTTATTTGATGTAAAACAAGTTTGTTTATCAACTTATCAATTCTGATACTTGAATTGATTCGTTAACAGTATTAATTCGATGATTGCTCCTAGCCATGAATTTCCACTTACATCAATAGAAATTAAAATTAAAATTAAAAAAGCCCGCTCAAATTTGTTCCAGTCTGATTGGCTTTTTCCTTCAGATTATGGAGACAAGAGGGTTACATCTAAATCATAGTAGACTCTCTTGAGATCAAGCCAACCAATTTAAATGATGCACAGATGACCATCTTCAAGTAGATGGGAAATATACCACCATTGTTAAAAAAGATACATATGGCCTAATTTGTGTAAAAGTCCAGTAATCGGTTTGTGTCCTCTAAATCTCATCATACATGGGTGGAGAATAACCCAGTTCCAGATGTATGTAATAGTATTGATGCAATCACTGGATGGTGTTGTACATGCCTTGTTGGGAGTAGGGTTGTAGGCACAAGGGGTATAAAAGCAAAAAGAAAAAGTTTGACATTTTAAAATCAAAAGATATGTATGAAATGTTGTCATCTGAAGAAGATGATGATAGCTCAGAGAATCTCTTATTATAATGAACAAACACATGAATGTGCTCATCAACAGTTATGTAAAGTCCATGTGTTTTCAAGTGTTGCTCTTTGTGCTTCCTCACTGTGATGTGAAATAACAAATTCAGTATTTTACTGCCACAAACTGCATATGTGCAAGTGATCTCAAGGAAGCAGATCAATATATAATTGATTGATATGCATTTTTGATTTGTTAATTAATTCATGTGTTTTTAAATGTTGCCCCTTATTCTTTCTCATTGTGATGTATATTAAAAAAAACTCAATATTCTTTTCTGACAAAGTTTCGCAAACTTTTTTTGTAGACAATTGTTCTAAATGAAGTATAAAGAAGATCACCATTCAATATTTTGTTTGTATTTTTGCCTTGTTATATTTTATATGTTTTCGAATGTTGCCGAATATGCTTTATCATTATTATGTAAGATAATAGCAACAGGATCAATTCTTAAATGACTGAAAATAATGATTACTTTGATAATGAATAGAAACATTGACAATAATGATGTGAAAAGTGATTTTTCCTTGAAAAGGTCATTTTATACACGTTAATAGAATGACCTATATTTTGAAATACAAATGTCAGAATGACCTAATTTTTGGATCTGGTTATCAAACAAAGTCTCTTCTTTGATATCCTGTACAATTTTTTCTAAATATCGTGGGGGCTAATATAGGGTCTTAAAGCCACTCGTCCTTTGTGTTGCATTAACAACACTACGTAGAATATAAGATTATGTTATACATTCCACCCTGCAAAGTATTGGGATGGGTGATTATGTTGAACTGGCATTGGTTGCAACTGATATTGTGGATATTGTGTATTTTGTAGTTGCTGCATATTAATATGATGCGGCGAGATTTGTCCCTGCCAAGGACTTGGATACATTGATGGGTACACATGGCTAGTAGACTGTCCTGTCGTAATCGATAGTGTTTTTTTGTAATTGATGATTCAGTTTGCATCGTACACATGTATAGGTTCATTACTCACTGGTGTCACTTGTTTCACATCCTTGGACTGTGATTCTGGTCTTGGGTCGGGACGTCTATTGGTTCTTGTAGTTCTTCCCAGGACAGCAGAACGAATTAAAGCTGCGAGTTTAATCGTGCCACTTTTATTTGGATGAGAACCGCCCTGTTGTATGTATGTGCCCTCGGACTTCAAGGAGAAGGCTTTCCAATTATTTCAATAAAATCTGCCCCCTCTAATTTCGATGAAACGGGACACAAAGTCCCCGTTTTGAGTGTAGAATGGCGTCAAAACGGCCAAGGCACATTTAGTTCAGACTCCGGTATTATCCATGTTAAAAGGTTAAAAACTAAAATACACTTCTCTATTTTTTAATACATTATAATTACCCGATGCGCATCTGAGAAAAATAATTTTAGGACTCAAAATATTAGAATACTCATACTCTCAGAGATTAAATATGCCCAATTGATTTTAACGGGGACTTTTATAACGAAGGCTTCACTTGGACATTTTTCAATATTTGATAGAATTTACAAGGTTCATATTACCATCAGTTTATTTGTATTGCACACTGTGACCACTGGTCGTAACATTGTTCCCCGTTGTTTCAGTTACCGATGGATCAAGTTGGGTAAGCACGAAACGAAAAGGTTAAAGTCACCAATTGACCCTATCTACACACCTTCACTTGTTGGTTGTGCAATCGCCGTGCAAAGAGACTATTTCTTTCACATTGGAGCATTCGATGAAGGTACCAACATATATAGGAATTACATGTTTACTGTGCAGACATCTTCTTGACGTATTTTTAAAGAAATAGTGTATAAATAATTAATAAATTGAACTTTTATGAACGATATAACTAGATTAAAATATAAACCAGTTCATGTACATCAATGAACTACATTGTGATGAAAATATACACATAATTGCATGTACTGATAATAGCGAATAACCATTACTTGGACTTTCTTCTTACAGGACAGAATGGCATGTTTTATTCCGATCATTTCATGTTTAAAAACTGTACATTGAGTAATACAAACACGCTGAACGCATATGCGTGTTTGCAAATGTTCACTTTCAAAGAATATGAGACATAAAATAGTCCACTGTAAACACTCTAGACTGAGTAGTCGTATTGTATAAGTAATGTTACAGTATGAATTATTGAAATGTGCTTAATATTTTCCAGGAATGGATATCTGGGGTGGAGAAAATATAGAGTTGTCACTCAGAACTTGGTTGTGTGGCGGAAAAACGCTGACGCTGCCGTGTTCCAGAGTGGCACATGTATTTAAAGAGTTCACCTATGGATTCGGTAAACTTGGGAAGGATACTATCTTGCAGAAAAATCTAATAAGAATAGCTGAAACATTTATGGATGAGCACAAAAAGTATTTCTACGCATCAACCAGGACGCATAAAGAGAAAAGGGACGTTAAGTTAAGCGATGTAGAATGGGCTTCATTAGAGAGGAGAAAAAAACTGAGGAAAGACTTGTTTTGTAAACCGTTTGAATGGTTTGTAAATACTATCATTCCTAACCTACCTTTACCGCCTATGGACGTGGTATTCTACGGGGAGATTACTAGTCAAGCTTCTTCCCTGTGCTGGGTTCCCAGACAAGCTAATGACGGGGTGTATATAGCGATGACAAATCAGTGTTACTTTCATAAAATTATTCCTGAAAATTATTTCAAAATTACTCAAAATGGGAGACTAATGTTTGGAGAACTATGCGTCGAAGTGAAAATGCCGTCGCCATTTTTAGTGCTTACAAAATGTAAATTAGAGTCCGATATTTACGAACAGGGTCTGTGGTCGTTGATGCAGGGTGGGAGTGTGGAAATTGGGAAAGTACAGGTCCAGACATACATGGACAAACAATTATACACTTTCTGTATTGAACAAGTCACCAACATTTTAGAACCGTATAAAGGAGAACAGGTGCCACAAGTAGGAAGGTGTAAACAAGATAACAGATTCCAAGAATGGAGATTTACTTATAAAATTGATTTTGAAACTCATACAAATAACACTAGAGCAAATTAGCAGAGTGAATACCATACTATAATTAACGGAGGTGTTTTACATTTTTATTCGCCTGTTTTATATTACGACTTGATACTAATGCACCATTTAAAAGTTTGCGTGAGACCCCCCCCCCACGCGAGGAGGGTAAGGAATTTGATACACAATGTTGCCCCCAGGGGTAGGAATTCGACGAAGATTGTCGTCCCGGGGATGGGGAATTTGATTCACATGAGGACTTTTGACTGAATCTGTTTCGTCCAGTATACACTTTAGGATTCTCGGAATTTGCAAATGATCGGTAAATTCAGTGAACTAAAGATCGCTCATATCGGGAACAGAAGAAAATAACTCATCTACACGTTGGGTATAGTTTCAGGGGTGGAATCGCCGTGAATAACCGCTGGAGAAAGAGGAATTTAGAATACTGAGCAGTGTCTTAATTATCCCATCGAACGAAGTTCGGAGGGATATAGGGAACGCCTCCGTCCGTCCGTACGAACGACGTACGTCCGTCCGTCCGTCCGTACGTACGTCCGTCCGTCCGGGCAATAACTAAAATACCGTTGGCCCGATTTTGTTCATATTTTGCACACATATACTCTATGGGGGTAGAAGTTCTGCTCGAAAGCCGATTTTCAAAATGGCCGCTCATTTCAAAATGGCGGCCATTTTAGTGACGATTTTACAGTAATTTAGGTGCAATATGTAAAACTGTAATAGCAAGATGTTTTAAATGTAAAAAAATTATAAAGGACATTAATAATGCTACAAATGTAGATATTAAAGAAGCACATGGCAGCCATCTTGAAAAATGGCGGCCTTTACTCGTCATTTTACATTTTTTTGCTGTAACTCAAAAAATAGTGGAGCGATTTTGTTCATATTTGGTATGTGAATACTATAAGCATTGCACACTGTCTCAAGACACTTTTGGTAGAAGGCGGCCATTTTTCAAAATGGCCGCCATTTTAACTTTTTTTACTATAACTCAAAAAGTAATGGAATGATTTTGTTCAGATTTGGTATGTGAATAGTATAAGCATGGCACACTGTCCTATGACACTTTTGGTAGAAGGCGGCCATTTTGAAAATAATTTTGAAAAATGGCCGCCATTTTAACGTATTTCACTATAAATCGAAAAGTAGTGGAGCGATTTTGTTCATATTTGGTATGTGAATACTATAAGCATGGCACACTGTCTATTTCTAATGATGCTTTTGGTAGAAGGTGGCCATTTTGAAAAATGGCCATCATTTTAACGTATTTTACTATAACTCGAAAAGTAGTGGAGCGATTTTGTTCATATTTGATATGTGAATACTTTAAGCCTGGCACATTGGATGGTGTGCGATTTTTCAAAAATTTTAGAGGTGGCTACTTAAAAGCATATTATTTCTTCTGATGACAACTTGGCTAGTGAGCAACCATTTTGAAAATGGTGGCCTTTCTGGTGTGTTGTTTTATGATATTTGCGCTTCGTTTGTAAAAATGCCAGCCATTTCTGTTCGATGGGATTCGCTACGCTTTGGCGTTGCCGTTGTTCTGGTTATTGGTTTGTCAAGAATGCACTTCCGCGTTCTACTTATATTCATAAACTCGTCATAATTTAATTGATTTAATATACAGGTAGATGATTAATTTAATTTAAAATTAATTTTTGAAAAATTTTACGGTCGAACAAATTTTGATTTAATTTAATTTGATATAGATGAATAAAACGGAGGGAGGTAAGCTATTAAAGTAAAAAGCCATTACCTTAGAATACGTCATTGCATAAATTACAAGAGACCTTTCGAAAATGACTACGATGTGGATTTGTTCCCGATTTGTACCCATCAAACGCAACAATCCGCCCACCCATTCCACAAAAAATGATTGTTCATACAGGTGTGTTCTCCACTTTTGTTGAACAGATACAGATCAAGTGTAAAACTATGTCCCTCTCGGCTCATTTTTGTCAAAACTTTCAGGCAGTTTGCGAAAACGTCATAAAATGGACTGTATTCTCATCGGCTTTTAATTACGCGGGTAATTGCGTCATCTAAAAAACTGCTTCTCTATTGGTTATATGTAAATCGTAAGCGAATTTTTCATTCATAAATTAATATACCAATGCGCGATAACGTTTAATTCAGTTCAGTTTACTCTCATGTATGGTACAACTTCGTCTACATCCGGGTTCTTTCCCATTGGATTACACAGGGGTGCTATTTTCAATGCCGCACTGCGACTATTAAACATTTATGTAGAGTTTCATTTGCACAAACGATAGGTATGTATGTAATTAAGATATATGACAAAGCTTTTTGAACTATAATCCCCAAATCCGAAGAAATCTGTAGTTGAAAATATTACGCGGTAAACACGATACAAAAAATATGTCATATTCCGCAACGAATATGGCATATTCACTTGCGGTGTATGACAGATTCACTTGCGGTATATGGCATACACACTAACCAATGAGAACGTGATACGGAAGTACGCAATTGTCAATTGCCTCGATTTAACAAGTAAAACGTTATAGATTATTATAATGATTACTGAATCAACAGTACTGTGTATCGAATATATTAACTTAGCAGAAGTATCAGTCACCAATCTCGCGTAATAAACTTACTTAATCAATCCAGGATTCATATATTAGTACTCGACCCACTAACTATATCGGTAATTCAGCGTAGTTTTACATTTAGAGTCGATTCTCGCAACCAATCAAATCAAGGCTTTCTATATCACGTTTTCACCTGCGGTATATGTCATATTCACCTGCGGTATATGGCATATTCCGCGAGTGAGTATGACATATTCCGCAGGTGAGTATCGGGTATTCACTGAAATCAATGTATCGCATATTCACTGCGGAATATCGCATACTCACCTGCGGAATATGCCATATACCGCAGGTGAATATGGCATATTCACCCGTATCACAAATACCGCGCAACCATGAATGTATGCCATATACCGCGTAACAGAAAATACCGTCCAATTCAAGTGACGTCACTGATATCTCAGAAATTGCTCAGACGCCATCGAAGATCGAAAAATATAAATAATGTTACTTTGAATCTCCGATTATCTTTCTGATTATTGAATAGATTGGATTATATAACTATGCTTGAGGGCTGATGGAAGATCAGAAGCTGAGAAACGTTCAGAGTAATCGACTCGTTCGCACTGGCATGTAGCGGCCCTGATATCGATAAGTTCTACACGCAATATAACCAGATACTACGTGAATGATTAAAACTCTACACACTAGAGCTTCGATATCCGGGCACTTACTCTTACACTGAAATGAAAATTGAATCGTCTGCACGTGTATGTGTTGGCTTCCGTGTACGTTTATCAACATTAGAGACCTTAAGATTGCACCAAATAGTAACCTGTACCTGTACCTGTACGTGAAACATGATGCGTGCGCAACAAATCATGTAACTTTATGCTACATTCGACACGTCTGACTTGTTTTATAATCCCGTTGTCGTGTAAATTCAATAGCGCCGGGCGTTTTTGTCGTCTTGTTGTGAACCTGTACGCGAAAGATTGTGAGTGAGATCAGTATTACATTACTATGTACTATTTATTTCACGGTCTCATTCATTTTACACGAGCGGCAAGACGTGAATTTGGCACTTTACAGGTTGGTTGGAACGTGAGTTTTGAACCATTGATAAATGACTAAAAAAGCAATGTGCTGTTTATTTATGTTATTAATTTAAAAGTAACATATCTGTCGAATAGCTCTGTATGTGCTATGGTTCAATAAATAATGAATCCTATGGGTAAAGTTGCAGATAATTTCAAGTATGAAATAATGGCAATTCGTATCGCCATCATTATTATATCACTTATGTGAAAGCCATACTGTTCCGGCAGACTAGACTATTTCGCTTTCTCCTTTACATGCCAGACTGTTTTGTTCTGTTGATCAGTTGTTTGATGTAAAGTATACGAAAATTTTAAAAAATCGAAACCATCAAATATCACTTTTGAAACCATGGAATATCACTTTTATATAAAAAGTGGTATCTCATACTTGAGTGGGTTTGGGGTAGATATCATCCGGGAATATATATCGTATCTGAGGAGCGGGCAGGATATATTGTATATGTCCCGCTCCAGGCCAAATGCGGGCAGATATAATATATCCATCCCGCTCCCGGGAATTTTTCAAAAGTTTAAATATCAAAAGTTTTAATTTTCTAATTTTAAAATTTAATTTTTTTAAGTTTAAATGTTACAATTTCATTGTATTGAACAAAAAGAATATTACGAAAATGTTAAATATAAATATCTTGTCATTTGAAAAATTTGGAAAAGGTTATATCTACCCTAAACCCACTCAAGTATGAGATACACCAGTTATGCACGGTCGGTTTGGATACATGGAATATCCCTCGGGATATTCCCTGTATCCAAAACCTCCCAGTGCATAACCCCTATATACTCGATGGTTTCAAGATTTCTAATATGAAAAAGTGAGATTCGATGGTTTCAAAAGTGATATTCGATGGTTGTGTTTTGCTAAAATATGATATCTTGATCCACATATCAAATATATCTTCAGGTGATATTCGATCTATATCCTTGCAACCATGGGATAAATGAGGGTTGTGGAAGGTTCTGTATTTGGGATATATCCTATCTTGCTAAGGGAAATATATTAGATATCTTACCGAGGGCCCGGACGGTCCGAGGTAAAATATCATATTTCCCGAGGAATATACCCCATATTAAAAACCGAGCATCGCATAACTGATTTATCTCATGACAAGTAAGATTTCATGATTGCGGTTTTTAGGACACCAATAGTGCAGATTTGTTTTTTAAAGTGTTCTCATTCTCATTATTTTCGAAAAAAACATCAACATTTTGGTCAAAAGAAATGCTACCGTCTGCTGCATCCATTTTGACAGTTTCGCTTTTGCAAGATATAACACATAAAATATTGACTGTTTCTACACTGAACAAAAACGTTTTCCCCGGAATATTGGAGCGAGAGATATACAGCGGGGAATATATATGTATGTACGGACAATCCTATGTGATATTCGATGGTTTGGGACATTTTTTGCTAAAATATGATATCTTAATCCACATATCAAATATATATCTTCACGTGATATTCGATCTATATCCTTGCAACCATGGGATAATATGGGAATATCAATAATCTCTATATG